CTAATCACGATTCTACTACAACTGACCATAATGACCCAATCTTTTGAGCTATTTTTATACCTCCACAAACATTACTTTACCAAATTGAATCTATTATCCATCAAATCCCACGCTTCCATTTTTGTAAAATTACTCTAAACGATAGATTTAATTATTATAATAGTATAGTACTTTTCGTAATGACGGTCAACAAAATCAATTTTTCAAAAAAAAAAATTATGGATTATCGATCACTGATTCGATACTGAAATAGCAACATATAGTTGATTGGCTCTGATATTACATTATTCGGGCCATTGTTAACAATGCATCTGCGGTCGTTATAGGACATATTGTAAAATTGATAAGTCAGTTTGCTGGATTTTGTCCATTAATAATGCGGCTCATTTGGTCAAATTTTGGTCCTTATGAATCCTTGATTTGAAACAGAAAAGTGCACCCAGTAAATTTTTAATTAGTGGTGGATAAATAGAAGGTTGCGTGTCTCATTTTATCTTGCACGTTTCACATTGCCATTGAGATGAGAACGAAATTACACTAATGTTAAATTTATGATAAGGTCGGTATTGGTTTTCCTCTACCGTATCTCTCTAGATTATTTTATAAAGGACCATGTAATTATCTCTCTAATATAGTGAATCAACTAATTACCGATAGTGATGCTCACAGAAGCGTTAAACTTAAAATAATAAAGAAAATTACTGAGGCACTTCAAAGGTGATTCTATACACTTTGCACAAACCGCATTTTCTAAAGCCAACACTTTATTATAGAAGTTTTAGTAGACATCGTTGTCTAACTCAAGAAAGCCCTTCAGGCCCTTCTCGTTTATCACAACAATTCATTGATTAATATAATTCACATTTTGCACTTCACATATCTTAACAGTGTTGACACATTCCAGTTTTTGGCCGGGTATTTTTTCAAAAATTTCAGAAAGGAAAGATAAACACAAACGGATGTAAACGAGATTATATCTTGTTCCCTTTAAAACGCCATAACCACAATGTAAAAGTAAATTACTGAAACTGAAAGTTCAGTGATATGTTCATGGTAGGGAAATTATATCAATACTGATTGAGAATGTTTTATAATTGAATTCCTATCGATTGAATGAGTTATAAGCTAACCATTAATTTCATGAATAAGTAGCACAAATAAAAAATTTACCAAATTTAATTCATGCTCTAATTCATAATAATCTCTGCAATTTTATACTAATTACATCACAATATTTAATATCTTCAGCCTACATAAAATAAATAAAATTAATTTTGAAAACTCAAAAATACAGTTGCAGATAACGATAGTGATGAGCATAGATGTCCTACAGTCATGCACTAACACAATGCGAAATACTGTATTTATAAATTTATTAATGTCTGGACAAATTATAGTTTATGTCCATATTTTTCAACAAAAGACTATTTTTACTGTTATAATTTATGTCTGAGTCAAAATTCAATATTATATAGTATATTGACTAATTATTGAAATTCACTAAATGTATAATTTTGGTGAAAAGTTGCCGACAAATAATATTTTTAGTATTTCGATAATATTTTCCTGTTTTTTATTATTTTCGAGAGCCATAAATTGAAAGTTGTTGACTTACAACGATAAAAGCAATGCAATTATTGGCAAACTTTGATTTATGTGGGAAAAATGTATAGTAATATGAACTGAAGTTACTATAAACATATAAATAATGTAAGTTGGCATATAAGCGAGAACGTTAAAAAATGTATCGCCTGATTCCTTCTATTAGTAATGACTTTAATAAAAAAACAGTTTTAAATATTGATTTTTTGTGTTTTGTTGGTAATTATAAACCCAAAAGAGAACCCAAAGAATTTTGGGTATATATACGAGTGACACACCCCATGTCATTTTTTGAGGTTAATTTAAGTAGGAAGAAAAGATATCATTTGAGGAAAAGTGACTGGTTCTTCTAATGCAACATTTGCAAACATTTCACGTTTCTTCCTTGATGAAAACATTACTTTAAGCCTGCCACAATCTGCAACGAAGGACGTAAAGTAAATGTGCGTTGTGATAACCGTGTTATCCATAAGTGATTTTCAATTTTTGTGGTAAAGGGTGAAAATTTAAAAATAATGAATAATTTAGGATTAGGTTAATTCGTCTATCCACTTCGACGATTTTATATCTCCATATAACTCAACTTTTGCATTTTTTTAAAAGTGTATATTCACTCAAAGGCATTATCTTCATAAAACTTAATGCCCATAAAAACGATTTTATTGATTTTTGGATGAATAAATAACAAAACCGTAAGAGGATAGAAGTTACACTCATAATATACTTTTCTTGAGAGAAAACGAAAACTCTATTAAACTTTAAACTAAATATTTTTGCGGCTCAAATTTCTTAAGTAGTTTTGTGCTATTCCAAATTGTGATTTTAACAAAGTGTATTGGAAAACCGGAAAGTGCTTTCACATCATTAAAAATTAATAACACAACCATGCCAAAGATTGACTAAAAGTCTACATTTTTAACGCACTCAACAATGCATTGGTCATGTTAAATTTTTAAAATATTTCCATGTATGGATTTCTTAAATTATTCAAAACTTTTCAAAGCACTCAATTATCAACTACCTAGTCTGGTCTTGTTTCAATCCTAAAGCAATTTAATTATTCACTCAATAAATTTTTCATTTTTTTGTTCGTTTTGCGTGATGCAACGTGACAAAGACATTTACTAATTACATAGTCTGCATAAAGCAGACATAAGCCTGGCATGCAATGAAAGAATATGTTTAGGTGACAAGATTAATAAAGTTGATAATAGTCAAAAAACTTTATCCAACATTTTTAATAAATTAAGGTTGATAGCCCTAAACCCGTTCCATTATGGTGGTTTATTAACTGGATAAACTATTCAGACTTTGTTATCTGAATATACGCAAAAGATGATTAGCCGAATTTTAAATTGAGAAGCAATATGTAACTGCCATAAATTATAAATTAAAATATGTTTTAAACACAGATAATAATAAATATTTTAAAATCAAATATTAGCTTTAAAAATTTATAGTTGTTATCTGAAGAAAAGGTTTGGAAACATGTTATGTCCTGAGGCGCGTTGTCAATATTAGCTAACAATTATTTCACAGGTCTGGAAAAAATTGAGTTTGAATGTTTTTAACAATTTGAAATAAAATCTAAATAAATCATAAATTAGGTAAATAGCTGACAATAAGTTAGTATCTCCAGGTATAATCGTTTTCATATTAATGCGTATCGAAGTAAAAATTCAAAAAATCACAGCCTCAATCTGCCTTAAAAATTATTTTCTCAAATAAATATGTGTATCCCAGTTTTTGAGGTGGCAAAAAAAATTAAAATCAAGTATGCAATTAACGTAGCATGGAAAACATCATTATTGATGTGTAAAAATTTATTCTGAATGACTTTTTGTGTGAATCGGCTTTTAAATTAAAGATGCATTTAGACTTCTACAACCTACTTGATGCACATTAATATATAAAAGAGTATATTTGTAAATGTCTAAACTATAAAGCTGTGCTCACAAAAATCAATCAATCATATTTGAATCAGATGTATTTAACCTCCTTTGTGATTTTAATACAAAAACTGAGTGTGGGAGCATACCTATTTAAATAAATTAAGAAATCCCTCATTATTTGTTTAGTAAAATAAATATGAGAGAGGATTTTCGGTGAGTAATAACCGTGGGTGCGTTATGAAAATTAAATTTTCAATATAAAAAAATCGTATAGATAAAAAGGGTAGGGTTTTTTGCATATACCTACAAAGAGTTAAAATGGGGCAGTCGTTAGACCTTTTTGGTAACCTGCGGCTACTGATACTTTTACTGATCCAATTTTCTTTGGTATAAAGGATCAGTTTATGAGGGATTTAGTATTTTCGCTGTTTATATTCAGAGTGATGCTAATCGATTCGATAATAGTTTACGAGCTCAATTGTCTAATGAAAATTGACGGAATTCTGAAAATGTTTTAAGTTATAATTTAAATACTGTTGACATTATTTACGTCGTTAAGGTATTGTGCAAAATATGCCATATATTTTCATTATCATACATTTTCTTGGTAATTATGAATGAGTTAAATTAGTTCTGAATTTTAGAGGCCTACCGCATGTACAAGGGTAAAGTTTTCAGGGTAAAATTAAGCTCACATTACGTCAAAATCACTTGAGCTTATGGATGTGGCATGTTAGAGAGTTTGGCTTTGCTAATTCAATAAAGATAATTACCTTTTTCATCTTATTATGTCCGCACAGGCTTCCTGTACATATAGTAGACCCTTGAAAGGATTTGTAACGGTGATAACAAGCAAGTAATTGTTTACTATTTTCCAATAAAATAAAACTCATTTCATTTTATGTAATAAATTGATAGATATTTGATTTCCCACGACTGACGTGAAGAATTCCTCCCTCGTGAGCATCCCGCTAACTCATCTCTAACGCCCACATTACAATAATTAATGATTTATTATTAAACACCAGTGAAAAACCGTAGCTACTTGTTTTGTCTCTCTTTCGATCAAATCTGCTTTAATTTTAACTCTTGAACTATGAAATGATCCTGTTAATAATAACCAATTACCTATTCTAATATAAGTACCACAATAGAGAAAGGAACCGTAAACTATACCTAAGAGATTATGGGGATAATTAATTTCAAATTAATGCTACCTAAAAAGTATTGTCATTTGTACCAAATAATTTTTCACAAATAACCTCAGATTTCTTTTTAGGTAGAGTGGTAAAAATGTTTGCGATTCTCGGATGATTTGTTAAATTGTTCAATTTGATGAAATAATTTGGGAACAGTGAGATGTTTACTTGTTTTTAGTAGGGAAGTTGAGAGACTAAAACATACCCAACAGTCTATAAAACTTAATTTCTAAAAGACAATAAACAGGGGACTCCGGAGTCTTAATTAAAGCATGCATGTTCTAAGACTCAGCTATCACCCTTTTACCTGTGTTGGAAAAGATCATAGCAACCGCCAGAAGGTATGGCACCATAATGTCTCCCATCTCGGCAAAAATGTCCAATATTTCGCTGAAAACTCACATTTCCATTCACTGCCACTAAAATTCAAGTTGCATTCAAACGAAAACACTGTTGCAGTTAAAATTAAGCCACGCCTGCTTTATTGGATTCACGGTGTTTGATTTCGAAAATTATCCACAAATTTGTAAAATAAACAAGAGCACATTGTTGCGTCTGTTGAAAGCCAGAAAAATGTTCCGGAGAAAGATGTTGTCACAAAAAGTTATATCACTTGTAGTGACTTATTTAAAAATGAAAATATCCGCGTGTTCGTAACAGGTAAATTGTGGATGAAGTGTCGTAAATGATCTGAAAGGGGCGACAGATCTCGCGATACTAGCTGGCGTCGCGACGCTTCCGTTGAAACCGTCGTATCTTGCAGGGCGCCCCCTAGCGCTTCGCTTCTACACTAACCGACTTGTTTCGTATCGACCTCCACTACGAATTTTGATGCTCTGCCGTGTTCTTTTGGGTGTACACATCTTTTCTTCACCTAAGATGAGGAACAACCCTTTCACTTGAAAAATGCTTCAACGAGCTGTAAAAACGTATCGCTCGAAAATTTTCTCAAACTACTATTTTTAAACATTTACACACAAATGTGACATGTCTTCAATGGTTTAGCACGAGATCTAACTATTGTTGCCAAACTAACAGCCTATCACAACCTTCTTTCTTCTCATAACATACTGTCTAATCTCTATATAGATAGGGTAAAAAAAAAATTGAAAACTTAGACAATAGTTGAATTTCATATCCATTATATTAAAATAAAAATCTCATCATTTTACCGAATGTTTACCGAATCTTCTCTTTCTCACCTCCACTCATCTCTGATCTCAACCGTCTGCTATCGCTCTTACGTGACCGTCCATTTTCCTTTCGATTTGTGACCAAATTTTAGATTATATTTTTACTCAACCCGGAATCACCCCAGATAAAACACAGAAACGCAACCCACCCTTCAACATAAATCCTCTCTCAATATTCAAATACCCAAAATTAAACATAAATTAAATTTACTATTGTTTAAAATTTCACGTTGCCAGTTACTTGATTCTGAAATGGTAATAATGGTATTTCATAGATATGAAAACATTTCAAACGTGTTATTGCAAGTATTCTGGGAATTGAAGTGCATCTTCAAAACACCACGAGTTCGGTTGCGTACTACACAAATACAAATAACACAATATTATATATATCTTCAAAGTATATCCTCTTAGACGCGCTGCTCATTGAAGACGGAATCTGAATCTAAACCTGATGTTTGCTACATTTTCGAGGACACTTTTTGTAATGCGAGAAATTAAATCACAATTCAAGCAATTGTGTTGCTGAAAACAACAATAAAAATGTCTATTTATCCTTTCTATAAGATTTAAAAGCTCTCAGAATTTTTTTTCTTTGAGTAATTTGGAAGCATTTTACGTCAGGATAATAGTTACGCGTATATAAGCTGTAATAATAATGAAAATATAAGTGTTAGTGCGTCCAACACCCGCTTTCTTTTTCAGTTTTTTCCTCATTTCTTTTGTGTTATTGCTTCTTACCCTAATTGGTGTTCAACTATATTAAATAAAAAAAGCTGTAATTTTGAATAAAGCGTTTGATTAATATTTTTTTAGATAGAAAGCGGCGATTTAATTACACAGGTCAACACAAATTTTGACTTTGATAATAGAGTATGAAATTTTGATAGATTTATCGATATGTTAGACGGAAAAATATATATGGCCTGAAAAAGTTTGCTTTTGAATCCAGGAGAACGGTTGATCAATATTTTAGAAAATTCAAGTTTAAATTTTTATTTGTAAAAAAATCGAAACACATATATTTATGTATAAATTTTTATCAGCTTTTAATATCATATCAAATTATAAAAAAATACAAAATAGTAGAAAAAAATTTAAAAGTGAACCCTATATCTTTTTCTTTCATGTTTATGAATACTTTGTCTCACTAAACTCCATCATATTTTCGTTGTACTGGCCCTGATACCGGTGTTCAAAGTCCATGATGTCTTGATGACAATGTTCTTCTTGTTCTTCTGAATACGCCCCCATGTTGTTTTCAAATTTATCTAATTGAGAATTTGTACTTTTGAGACATTCTGCAGCTCATAGTTTTAAAGTTTTCTAACATGTTATCAACTAGCTCTCAGTAATTTTCAACTTTGTTATTCCCTAAAAATCCAAAAACTACTTCTTTAAACTGTTCCAACTGTTTTGTTGAGCACTGGTAAGTAATTTTGGAAATTCTTTACTGGCAAAAAGTGGATCAACAAAAATTACAGCTTTAACCTTTGCTTCTGACAACTTTGGAAAAAAGTTTTTTAAAAATGTAAAGGCTTCAGATCTTTCATCTAGTTTTTTTACGAATTGTTTCATAAGGCCTAAATTGATGCGTAAAGGCAGTAATACATTTTCAGGTTCAGCAATAGGTTCACATTTGATGTTTAGTTCTTAGGGGCCATGATTGTTGAATATAGTGTTGAGCATTTCCTCTACTATCCCACAAACAGAGATAACACGGATATTTTGTGTATCCACCCTGTGGTCCCATTTTTTTAAATATGATAACTCAAGAAATAGGGTTTATTACCATAACTACCACAAAAGCAAACTTTTTAAGGAATATGAGAATTTTTTCTTTATTTTAAAGCATAGTGAATGAAAAAATCACAAAATAAATCTTAAGACAAAGAAATTTTTTTTATGTAGAATTATGTTATTTCCATTTTCTGCAATTACCTGAAATAGTTATTAATTAACATTTCAGTGAGTCAAAGTTTTGGCAAAATTTAATTGTGTTTTGCATTGAAAGTGTAGTCAAAGCAATAAGACATTTTCCTTTAATATGAAATCCTGCAAATAACGAGCAGAAATGAAACAGTGCAAACAGAGTATTCCTGCGGTTAATCTTTGTTGAAGTCAAGTCGGTGCACTTCGATATGAAATATATTTGGTATAAATCTAAGAAAGTCGTTCTGGTGTATCTCCTTTGTCAAGCGCGAGAGGAAGCGTTCATTGCTTGCATAACATGAAGACAGTGTGGGTTTACCTAACGCCTGGAAGAGTGTCTCGTATAATTAATATACAAACTCGGGATTACCAGGCCTGGTTAGAACTTACATGAACCAAATGTAGCCAAAATTAATTAATTAATTTATTAAGATGCTCTAAAATCTACTTTCCTTTCCTCGCAGAGAGACTAAATAATTCGATTAAGCTCATAAGTTAAATGTGTTGATGGCTTCGTCTATTCATATTGATGTTGTACATCTCTTTACACGGCATGCATAATTAAAATCATTTACAGATGAATCCAATAATCTACGTCTCAGAACGTAATCTCAATAACAGTATTTGATCACACTTTAGAGTCTTGTACTGTTTAATCCCTTACACTTCACTTTCACTTCTTGTATTAATATTAATTAAAATTTACATTTACTCGCCAGAATGAGTAATGGGGCTGGAGGAGTAGACTTATTTATGTAAGCAAATCCAGGTGGATAACAAAAGAAAAATTAAACACGTGAATTGTTTTGTTAATGAAAATTTGATTTTAAGTGACTAAGGCGTAGCCTTTTGATCTAATGGCAATTATTCGACTCCTCTCATTTATTAATATATACATTTATAATTGTAATTAACGAAATTAATTAAATATTTGGCGTTCTGTTTCTTCGAATTCAAACATAAACAAAAAGCGAAACTGGTATACATAAATAATGCTAGTGTAGTAGATATTAACAATTCACCCTAATGACACATTTTGCCGTTATGAAAGTTTAGACTGGAGCGTTAAATTACTAACGAAGGTTCGTGATAGTGTGCATAATAAATTCAGTGGGACAAAAAGTGCAGAACCGTGGACTTATTATCAAAGTTTTGTAAAGTTTAGAACTTACAATCAGACTAGAAAAGAAAGCTACTACCATTATTCAATGAAAAATAGCAAATGTGTTTGGACTTTGTAAGTATCAAACCGTCAACAATTTTCAGTATGTCTTCGTTTTTCCTGTAGTTACGATAGATCTTGAAGCGATTTATCGCCTTTCTAACATTAAATTGAGTAGTAGGTAGTTGAAAGCAGAAATTTTAAGTTCATGCCGAATATACTAAAGAAAAAAAGTGAAAACGTACACTTCAAACAACACGTTCAAGAATTTAGAAAAAAACAACCAAAAGTGTTCACTGGCTTGACTCCAGAACGTTTTCTTAGTTGCAGAGTGCATGTCTGATAGCAGTTTGCCTTTTATTATTAATTTCATTCAATTCGTCAAATAACACATTTCTCGCCCAAAAAACTTTTATAAACCCAAACTTATTTTTTGTTTTACGAGTACGTCATTAATGTTTTATGCAATTTTAACGAAAACTTATTGTGGCACGTTTCGAAAATAAAATATTTTTTATTAACTTGGCTACCCCACGAGAAACGGTAGTACAAATCACAGTTGGCTACAAAATTTTCTCAGTTTTATTTAACTGAGGGTATGGTTATGCTTATGACACATATTTCAATTACAAGTAGGCAGTACTAGTGGGTCATAAGACACGCAATGAGTTCCTATCGCTGAGAAAAGCTATTAAATAGTTGTATTTAACTGCCGGTTGTAAAAATTCATAAAATACAGCAAACAATGGCGAAAATTTGCATGATTGTACGCTTTATTGATTAATTAATTAACTGACTTAATCATAATCATAATTCGAGACTAATTAAATACCAAAACACATATTACTAACTGATAAGAGGAAAACACTCGCCACCGCTAAAACCACTAACTACAAACCACTACCATCATCGATTTAGTGAGATATTGTAGCCTTGCCTCCAATAAATTCATTTAAAAAATACTCGTTTTAATTTGTTTTTAAATGCGAATCTATTTAAACAGCAGTTGCTTCAAGCTTTATTTGTACTTGAGTTGAATTTTAATTTCTTGTTTCTTGTAACAACTGATTAAGTCGAGTTAAAAGCAGTAACCACACAATATAACTCACAACCAACTAAACATTAATTAAAAGGGTGTACTTTATTTGAACGTGGAGGTTCTTTTTAACTACTACATAAAGAATTTATTTTTACACGCTTTTGCAGTGACATTCAGTTTTTATTGCAGCTTTATATCGATTGTTATGCTAATTAGCCATAAATGGGTTAGCGTAGGAGACATTTCTTTTAATAAATCTGCCATAAATAGAGTTGCATTATGGCAGTATGGCAGTTAATCTCAATAATCTAGCAAAATGAGCGGAATGATAGTTTCCTATGTGTTGCAAGAGAAGAAGCATGTACTATGTATGTA